GCTACTCAACCCACCCTCTCTCGGTGCCACCTTCCTCGCGCAATACGAATACGCACGCTTCTCCACCGCAAGCCTAACCGAGACACAATTCCGTGACACCATGGCCACTTTCGCAGAGATCCTGAACGGCATGACAGAAGTCGACCCGGCAGTCATCGAAGAAGCACGCGCCCAAGACATCGAATCCGACACACGCAGTCTTGCGCCCACAGAATCAAGCTCCGAAACGAGCATCTCCTCGCACTCCCAACTCCCCTACCGCACACCGCAACTCGAGCGCCAAGCTTCGCTGTCCTCTTTCAACAGCTCCCTATTGTCCGCTGATAGTAATTCGACTACGCATTCCCCACAAACTGTCCGCACCGCTCCGTCGCGCCAACAACAGCGCAGTTCCACCCTCTACGGTACACCGCGTACACCCTCGCAGCGCTCGCATGCGGACTCTGGGTCGGAAACAGGCTCTGTCATAGTCCGAGAAAGACCCCGCAGAAGTCCAAGTACTTTGTTGCCCAATTCGAGCGAGAGTTCGCTGGGAAGTGCAGGCAGTGTGATTCGCTTGCACCCTAATCCCAGTGAGGGGGATTTGCCGTACGAATATACTATTGATGCTGGCTGAAGGGTGGGGGAGGCGTGCTGGGAAGCACGTTCATTTTCTAAATACATATCTGGGAGGGTTGAGTTAGATGCGCGGCAGCATGGGAACCGGGCGCAAGACTCGAGATGCGAAGACGCGCGCGCATGAAGAGGGAGAGGGAAGATACTACGACACAGCGCCATCTCTCCGTGTCAAGGTGAAGACGAAGTAGGAGTGGCATTCCGTGTGAAAGCAGCGTTGGCAGTACGACACCAAGAACTGACACAAAACATACTGCAGATATCAACTCAAACGAGCCGAGCATTGAAGAAGAAGAAAGAGGACAATCGACGATTCTTGTATATATCATTCACAGTACATAACATTTTACCTATCATACCATCATGTAATCAACGTACATTGAACCTAATCCTTACTCTACCATCCTACTCCGCAACCCAAACAGCAGCCATACCCATACCGGTACCAATACACATACTAGTAACACCCACACTCTTCCCCGTCCTCCTCAACTCCGTCAACAGCGTACTAACCTGCCTCGCACCCGTCACACCAAGCGGATGCCCAAACGCAATCGCACCACCCTTAGGATTAACCTTCTTAACATCCAGCCCCAACTCATTGATGCAGTAAAGACACTGACTAGCAAACGCCTCGTTAATCTCCCAGATATCCACGTCCTGCTTATCGAGACCCGTCTTCTCGAGCACAACAGGGATAGCAGCAGCGGGACCCACACCCATCATGAGCGGCGGGACGCCGACGATGGAGGCTTGCACGAACTTTCCGATGATGGGTTGGTTGAGGCGCTGGGCGGTGCTGCGTTTCATGAGGAGCACGGCGGCGGCGCCGTCGGAGATTTGCGAGGCGTTGCCTGCGTGGATGGAACCGTCTTTTGAGAAGGCGGGGCGGATTTTACCGAGCGATTCGGCGGTTATGCCTTGTCGGACGCCGTCGTCCTTGGATACGGTGATGGTTTGTTCTTCTTGTGTCTTGGGGTCTGTCCACTTGACTTGTAGGGGCGCGATTTCCTCGTCAAAGAGACCGTTCTTCTGGGCCTCGACGGCTTTCTGGAAGGAGGATGCGGCGAAGGCGTCTTGCTCGGAACGGGGGATGTTCTTTGCTTTGGCCATTTGTTCGGAGAGGACGCCCATGGGTACTTTGCAGTTCGCAGACTCCTTGTGCGACTCGAGCAGTTCGGAGAACTCAGAGACGGCACCGGGACCGTACTGTGTGCTCATGCTTTCTGCGCCGGCGCCGATGCCGATTTCGATCATGCCGCTCTTGATAGCGTTGGCGATGTCGACACAGGCTTGCAGACCGGAGGAGCATTGTCGGTTCAGCGATTTGACGGCTGTGGTTGTTGGGAAGCCAGCGGCGAGGGCAGCAGCGCGGAATTCGGTTGCGCCGCCTCCTGGGGCGAGGACGGCACCGACAGCGATGTCTTCGACGAGGTTGGGGTCGATACCGGAGCGTTGGAGGAGCGCTTTGTAGGCGCCGTGGAGGAGGTCGGACGCTTGCGTGTCTTTGAAGCCGCCTTTTCCGCCCTTGGTGAAGGCGGTGCGGAGGGCGCAGGTAATGACGATCTGGGAGATGGGGGTTAGTATGGTGTTGAATTGGCAAGTAATGAATCTTCAGCTGGAAGGACGTTGAGCTGATCTAACAGTCGCCGTCGCATCGCCCAAAGACAAGATGTGTAACTCACGTCATCAGCCTTCTTCTCCAACAACCCCTTCTTTCCCTTTGAGCCCGCAGCACCAGGGCTTCCGCTTCCACCCATGAGATGGCCCTCGACCTGCGTGAGGCGTTCTTGAACTGTACAACCGTCAGCAATCTCATCCATCATTCACCAACGCCACTTCTTCTACTCTCACCCGACATACCTTTGTTAGGAGCTTGGTTGGCCATATTGAGTACTGTCGTCGATATAGAAGCTGTGTAAAGGGAAAGCTGAAGAACAAGCTCCGACGTGAAGTATATGAAGCAGCACTACCGTTCGGTCGCGGCAAGCATTAGGTCATTCGCATGCGAATCGCCGAGGTACGTTGCGCTTCCGGTTAGCGCGTCTGTGGGGCGCGTCATCCGTTCCGGGGGAAGCTAGCTTTCACATGCCTCCAGGTGTCGACTTTGCGGGTGATTTGAGGCGCTTCACATGTCAATCTGGGAAGTTTGCTCATTATGTGCGGTTCTGCGGTGCTGGCTGTCGTGTTGCTGATGCTGACGGGAGATGCTTTGTGACACGAAGCAGTGGATGTGTAGGTGTTAAGATGCAGACACGGCGTTTGCAAGAGCACCCAGACTCAACAAATCACAATCTATACTCTTCAGTGACTCAGACGCAGTGGAGTATCAGAATAATATGATAATAATCCATGCGGCCATGTGAAGCCGACGACCCCGAACGCCCTGCTCAAACACACCCATCTAATCATGACAACGTTCCTCTTCACCGCCTCGCCTCATCTTCCTTCCAAGGATTATTCATCATCTGTCTCTCCAGCTCATCTACAATGCTCCCACGTTGAGTCTCCTCATAGCCTGGCGGCGGATCCGACGGTGGCTCGAAGCGCTCTTGTTGAGTCCGCGGGCTCGACAGCGGACTCGATGCTTGTGGACTGGACGGCACGGGAGCCGCAACGACAGGACCGCCTACGCCCGCTGCAGAACCGTCCATCGGCGGACTGGGAAGCGGATCCGGTACTCGGGCATGTTGTCTGCTCTCCTCGTATGCCGGTAGGTCTTCCAGATGTACGTTGTTCATGTTTACGCCTCCCACGCCTCTGCTTCCGTCTTCCACATCACCGCCGCTCTCCCGCGCCACCTCTACAGCCTGCCGTAACCGCTCCTTTAACCGCTCGAATATGCTCGCAAAGTCGAATGCGCCGCCCTCTTTGAATTCCATGACGAGGTCAAGCTCGGCGTGCTGTGGTGGTATGCCGCCGCCTTGGACGGGCTGGATGATGGCTTCCCATTTGTTGGCGCCGAACCAGGGGGCTGTGACGCGGGAATCGGTTACGTTGAGGATGGGGACGGCGAAGGATTGGAGTTGGGGGGTTGGAGCGACGGGAAGGTAGATCATCTGGTCACGTTAGTCAAGTTCCACATGATGGAGATGGTATGTACGCACCCGTCTGTTTGTGAGATATACAACGCCCGACTTGCATTGTTGTGAGTAGGACTCGCTCGGACTACGCTGGTGGCTAGTCTGCAGCGAGAGCGTGGTTCGAGGAGGAGACTGGTATAGTGTCTGTTCGCCAGGCAGAGGAGTGTACCCGCCATTCTCAGCGAGCATAACCCAACTATTTTTGCGGTCAGACTTCGACTTCTTCATCTTGTGCGTCTTGAACCCCATGCTGCTCTGCCGAAATGACTATGCCCAAAGCTTCTCGTTACAATCCGCGGGGTAGGAATGCGAGGGGCAACACAAGCACACACGACAAAGCCAGGACAGGACGTTCAGGAAGAGCGGGAAACGGAGCGAGAGAGAAAGAGGAGAGAAGATACTAACTTGACAGACATGCTTGGAAACCGCCTTGCAGCAGACTTGTTCACGGATAAAGCGTGAATAGTTCGCCCACTCCCCAACTGTCAATGCAAGCCAGCCTTCCTTACCGCGAATGCGCTAACTGTGCCTGCGCGTGAAGCGCCCGCCTTGATTGTATCGGCCCGACCGCCGACTGCCTATCAGATCTCGCGTTGCGGTTCCCGCGCAAATGCGAGTGATCGGTTTAGCGTGGTGCGGTGGAGACGAACGGTGGGGTGGCTACGGTCGAGAATTGTCGGCTGGGGCTGGTCTGCCGCGGCGAGCGCGGTTGTCGCGAGTGCAAATGTGTGCACTGCGGAGGGCGAGTTATGAACGCTGTATAGAGGGGCAGAGATGAAGATATGTAGATGTATGTGTCGATATGCGCATGCAGCTCGGATGCGGTAGTTACGTGTTCCGAATGGGCTTTTCGGACTGGTGCCTGCAGTATGTAGGTAATGCAGCTGATGATGATCCCGTGAGACGGGCTTGCGTCACTCGTTGAACGTGGAACCCAGGCCTGGAAGCATGGCAAACGTAGCGCGATATTGGATCGAGTGCACCGCAGTCATGGGCAAGCAACATGCACGTGTTTCATAGATATTGTTCCCACTTGGGCAGGGTATTCCATTCATAGCCGTAGCCCTCGCTGATCAAACGCCATAGTCCGCCGCTACAAATGCTAGTCATGAATCAATGAAACACAGTAATAACTCCAATAACCCGTCGCTGAATACCGAAGATACAAATAGCACGCCAACACCGTACATCATTCGAGGGAAAACCTGGATACCCTGGAGCCTACGTTGAGATTAGGTCACGTACTTTGCGTGTTTCCATCTTGATGTAGGCTCCCGGGTGCTCAGTGCTTTCCTTGCTGAACTACTCATCCCTCTCCGTAACCGTCCATCGCCGCTTAGGCCCATGACTATGCTCGTAAACGTCGTCCAACTTTGGCGGCCCCCAGAGTCCGTTGTTGGCCTTTGGGGCTACCTTGGCGCCCCAGAGACCGCCAGCAGAAGTACTCGGAGCGCTCTGTTTGCGCGTCTGGGCACTAACTAGAGGAGTCGGTTTATCGTTGACTTCTCGCTCTTCTTTCGAATCGAGCTTTGTCAAGCGATTGCTCACATCAGACGCGCCGTCCAAGTGTGCGATAGAGTTACTCTTGGATTTGGAGGCAGCTGCGGCAGCGGAAGTCGACTTTGGCGGCTGTGGCTGCTGGTTTGAGAAGTTGAGAACCATGTCGGCTTCTGTGGCGGGTGTGCTTGCGCCTGACCACAATCCGCCTGATGGAGATGCAGCGCCGCTTGTCGCACTCTGCGCAAACCTCGAGTTGGATCCTGAACTCATGGTCCGTCGCACGCCTCCCAGTGAGCTGTTCCAGTTCCTGTACGGCTCGCCGAGCGAGAAGGGTGAATCAAGCGGACTGCTAGTCGTCGATGATCCTGTGAACCTTCGTCGATACTCCAATGAGGGACTTGCTGTGATGGCTGGGGATGATGTTTGTGTCTGCGCTGATGGCGGTTTTGAAGGGTCCACTCCAGGCCGCAAATGGTCGACTGAAGCTGAGAGTTTGATGTCGTAGGTATCTGACATACCGGGGTCTGCTACGGAAAGTCTTCGTGTGTGTATTGTGGCTGGTGCGGATGTCTGCCTAGGTTCATCTCTCCGGACTGCCATGGACAGCGACGCCAGACCTATATCCATCAAGACAGGCTGGTTCGTCATGGCGCCGAGCAGCGCATTGCATCCTGCTCCATGAGTAATCAGGATCAGAACCAGCTCTTCCTCCTCATCCGCGGTAGGATCATCGCTGAAGTTGGGGAAGGGGTCGGACTTGGTGTGCGACATAGGCGGTGGCGTTAGGCGCAGCGGTTCCTTAAACATGAAGCCAGGAAACTGGTCCTTTGGAGGCGCTGTGCCGTGGACCCTGTACCACTCCATCATGCCCGCAAGACCTCTCCTGAAGCGCTTGTGCATTGTGCTCCATTCGTCGCCGTACTCGCCGCCATCGCCCCAGTTCTGTGGCGCACGCATGCTGTCCCATTGGAAGTCTACTTTGACGCAGGCTTCTTGGGCGTGCGCGACGTAGCCTCGTGGTATCGGGTCGGCGGGCGAGACGGAGTAGGAGGGGTGCGGCGGTTCGTAGACGCGGTTGGGTATCGCGGTCGGCTTGGGTGTCTGAGTTGGCATCGCCAGTGGTGCAGTTGCTTCTTTCGATGGTGTTCGTTCCAGGCCCAGTGGGCCAGCGTAACTGCTGGAGCGCTCTCGAAGCGGCGCAAACTGAGCCAGACTGCTCACAGCAGTGCCAGCTCCTCGACCACCATTCGGTGTGCTAGTGCCCGACTTGTTCCCCATCCAACCTCCTGGGAAGTGGCCCTTGCTGCTGTTCGGATTCGGCTGTTCCTGTATGTAGTCGCCCCTCCGTAACAGATCAGCTTTGGCGCCCGCTACCATCATAGTCGAGTTTGGCGGGGCCGTGATGTCGGCGTAGTATTCGGGAGACAGCCATTCGCCCAGGAACGCGTCGATGCGCAGGAGCACCCTCTCAGGGCCTGTGTGAGGCCGCGGCAGTATCTCGAGATTGGGGTCGGCGAGGGGCTCGAAGGTTCGGGGCTGCGACGAGGTGGATTTGGTGCGCGGCGCTTTGGGCGAAGGGACTCCCAGCGAGCCATTGGCGTCTTTGGAGGGGGGTGTCGGCACATTGAGCTGGGGCGTGGTAGGCGAGTGGTATTGGGAGATGCCGGCTGCAACCGCCGTGCTGGTCTGGACGCATCGCAGGAAGGGACTCGAGTGTATGATGATCTTGCGCTTCTTCTTGGGCCGCCCTTGCGCCTTGCCGTCCTTGGAGATGCTCAGCTTGCTAAAGTCGAGATGGGCGGGGTCGTTGGTGGCCGCGTTCTTCGCGTCTTCTGCCTGCTGGATGTCTCGCTCGTGCAGGAGGGCGGCTATGCGCTGGCCGAGGGCCTTTGCCTGGGACCAGCCGCCGTACGTGAGGGGCGGATCATACGGCGTGGGCGAGGAAAGATGCCATGACTTGTCGGCAGCGTCGAGTCGGGCGCCGTGTCTGGGTGCAAGTTAGCTACAGAAGCGGAATGTGGAGCCGTCAAGGCTGGGTGAGACGGTACCTGGCGACGACTACGACTGCAGGACCCTTCGCCATGCCCCGCTAGAGATGCTTCGCGTGCGTCTGGCGTGCAGCTGTGCGACGGTCGTGTATGCAATGCGCCTCCAATACGAACAAGCAAGTCGGTGGAGAGAGCGATTGTAGAGGCTTGAAAAGAAAACAAGGCGACAGCTGCGAGGCGTCAAGTGATGCTGCAGACGCTCCAGGGTTCACTATAACTTTGCGACCCTGCAGACGCTATGACACCATCGTCTCTCGCGCTGACAGCTGGAGCGGGCGCTCGAGAGGGGTTGGTCTGGTGTTAGGCTGTTTGTGCTCGACGCCACTGTGCCGCCTGGTGTTTCACTGCTGCATGTCGACTTTGTTCCCTACTTTCGTCCACGTGTTGGCTACAAGAGAACGCGTAGGTCAAAACAACAAAAACTTTGTCTCGCCTTCGCATATGTCATCTTGGTCCGGCGGCGGACTTAAGACGCCGGTGGGGCCGGGAAGAGCCCTGACAGCCCTGGAGCACGCCATCAATTTGCATGTGATCTTGATTCGACTAACGCGCCTACTCCAAATAATCTCCCTGCGTCTCCTTGTGTATAACGTCGAACAGCGGTTTCGCACTGAACCACCCAGCCAGCGAGCTCCCAATCGTCTTGTGTGTGTAAACCGCGTCCTCCTCTGTAATCTTCACCGTCTCGCCACCCCGCCCAACTGCCGCTGCATCTGCCATCAGCTGTGATTGACAGCACTTCTCCATGCTGATGAACCAGAACACTGCCTCCTCTACGCTCTTGCCTACAGTCAGCAGGCCGTGGTTCTGAAGCAACGCAGCCTTCTTGTCGCCTAGACACTTTGCAATGTTCTTGCCCTCTTCCTCGGCCAGCACCACACCGTTGAACGACTCGTAAATGACATGGTCGTTGTGGAACGCGCATGAGTCTTGTGTTATGGTATCGAGTTTGCGACCAAGTGCGCAGAATGTGCGACCGTAAATCGAATGAGAGTGCGCTGCGGCGACGACATCGGGGCGGGCAGAATGGACAGCGTGATGGATCATATAAGCTGCCGTGTTCAGCAGTCTACATTCCCCACCATCGATGACCTCGCCCTTTGCATTGACGAGAATGAGGTCCGAGGATTTAATGAGGCTGAAGGCGACACCGAACGGATTGACCCAGAAGTTCGTAGGGTCCACAGGATCCTAAAGCAATCAGTATACTGCGCACAACATGTGCTACACGACGTACCCTCAGCGTGATATGGCCAGCCACCCCCTCATCAAACCCGTACTTTCCAAAGATGCGGAAAGCAGCTGCCAGTCGGCCCTTCAGGTACGCCCGCTCCTTGTACGGGTCGTCAAACTTTGGCGGCTTGGGAAATTTTAACATCTCAATCTTTCCATCTTTCTGGTTCAGACCAGGCTCGTTCGGTGCCACCGTGTTCGCTCTGGTCTCGTCGCCTGCTTGAGGCTCGATTGCTGACGGAGGAGACATGATTGTATTCTAAGGGCTACTCGAGGAGGACTGTGAGGTTCTAGGCAGAGAAGAGCTTCAAACGAAGAGGAAGTAGCACGAGTATCCAGAAAAGCAGTAGAAAGAGCCCTCCGTTCCAACGTGCGGCAGTAAACAGAAGTCGCGACGGAGCAACCTTGGGAACCGCCACCCCTCCTACAAAGGCAACCGCGACCTCGGTCACTACCTCGGAACTACAAACGTAAGCACCCTATCTGCCCAAGTAATCACCTGCGTTATCGGAACGCTTCCGATAGTCACCCATCCGGCGTTTAGCACGTTAATACACAACGCGTGGTTGGTCGGCGACCGATAACTAGATGCGTGTGCGGGGCGTGATGGGCGGGGCGGGGTAACTGTATCTACCGCCGCTCGGCTTTTATGATCAACGAAGGTTTTCGGTAGTGGGCGGAAGTGGAACGTTTCCATGATCACAGTGGCGAACGGAGATGGAAAGTCTCCGTGATTATGGGTTCGGGGTGAGTTGAGAGTGAGAGCTCGGTATGCCCAGACTTCCGAAGGCGAGGTTGAGGCTGGAGTGGATGGAATGAAGACACCGGTCCGAGGAATAGGCATGTATCTTGCGTGGATGGGTGTTGAGATTACTATAACCTTGACGCAATCGCGAAGAATGAAGAATAGAGTGCTCCTTTGGTTCAGACTAAGGCCTGGTCTTAGTTCAAGCTGGTCATTGAAATTGTATCTTAGTACCTAAGTATACACGATTGAGGAAATTGAAGCTATTTCTAAAGAATTGTTCGGACATTCATATTACGGTCTACGTTAATATAGATGGTTGACTAAATATCTTGTGTTGTGATAATTCTAATTTCTTGATACGTGTTGGTAAGATGTCTACCGCAGTACGAGAGTGAGATTTTCCCTTCGCACAACAGTAATAGCACATACCCAAAGCAGGCAAGCTACTCAAATTGTTCTAAAGCAACCGGAACAGACACGGATGTTCTAGTGTTACGACTCCCAGCCGACGCGTAATAGTATTTCTAGCTTCTACGACCACACGCAAGCGTATATGCCATATAGATATCAAAGAAGGGCCGCGGACCGACAATGCGATGTGTATGGAGCATGTGAGAACTGAAAACGACATACTTCGGCATGTAATCACGAAGTAGTTGGAAAACAAAGGTGCCTAGGTACTAACACTACTGCTGCGTCTATCCCAGCGCGAACTGATCTCAACGTTTGAGTATGCACACTAGGTACGCCATGCATGCGAGGAGCATACAACCCTACCGCTAATCCTGTTAGGTAGGAGAGAATCGTGCTCATGTTATGCAGGTGAAGTATAGTCCCCGTTCTGGAGCTGTGCATGGCGTTTTGAGTACTAAGACTAGTACCGACATCACCCTGCATCATGTCGTGGAACGGTGGAACGGTGGAACCGGGTGACTGCGTTAGGATATGCATGTCGGTTCCCGTGTATTACTATGGAACCACAGATGCTTGTGAGATGATTTACAGCAGGATTTGGTAATGGCTGACAGTCGTGCGTTACTCATGTATTTCTTTGTTGTTTTGAAATCTTCCTAAAGTCGGGGTTCAATATAGATGCTTGGTCTCTCTCTCTAACACGGGTAACAAGAGACGAAGAACGAGTAATGGTGCCTTTCCACGGCTGGCTTCCGTAATCTTGGGGAATGCGACGGTGGTTTCCAGTGTGAAGACGTCCAGTCATGGAAGCCAGAGATCACTTGGACATCATGATCGCAGTCGAAAAGATGGTACATTATTGGAACTGTCTCGTAATCGTGCTAGACGCAGACTCATTGTGATGTGACATCTCGACGAGATCGAAGAAGCCTTGATGCGTTTGGACGTCAAGAGAAACTCTGCGCCTGCCACCGAGGGCGTAAAATTCTTCCCTTATCGAAGAAGAGGATGCGTCTTTGACTTAGACCGGCGCCTGTTCATGTTCCAGATTGGCCATCGAAGTCGTATGTTGGAGTTTGGGATAATTGCGATAAGTCTATGGTGATCCACCCTCATGTGTGATGTCAAATATGAAGAGCGCGTATCCTCACCTGTGATATCCCCAGACATCTGCTTGACTCGCAACCACCGGAAACAGACTGCCGATCAGTTCTCAAGGAACACTCTGCTAACCACACTGCGCAACCCCCACTGTATCGGTTTCGCCGTACTTATCATGCGCAGCCGATCTGATTGGCTTTCATCCTTCTCACGCTGAAATTGCGATGCAGAATCAAAGTGGAGCGATTTGCTGCATTGTATCTTCGATCATTTCGAGTCAGACTAAAGATCCACTTGAAGTAGATCACTACAAGCGAGGCGACGTTCAGCTGAGCGTTCCGTAGCGCCACGGGAATCCGGCATGTCAGAATGTCAATCACGGCTCCCAGCGCCTCGCACTGACTGTGCTCGTCACGTTTGCGTGGCATGCATGTCTGCTTCAAACACTCCATGTATTGTCTTTCTCGCGAACGACTCGCGGAGCAATTATGCCGTCATACAGACGTAGTGCTGTTGATGATTACCCGGTGGGGGTTACAAGAGACTATCGTGAGTATTGTGATCCAGCGAAGCCTCACCGGAGACTTTTATCGCTCGACCGTTCACGGTAGCCGAGAAGTAGCGTGTTTGCCGTCGTGAGCACATTTGACACTTGTGAGGGTGGTGCAGATCAGCGTGGTAACCTTTGCAATGCTACGTTACCACAGCCTCGCACGCTTGGATGCTTCTTCTAACTTCCGTCCGATTGGGGGTATGGCTGCGCCTTCGTACCGTTTCGGACGAGGGTCCTGTCGGTCGCAGTCTCCAGATGTATCATATTGGCGAGCTAGTATCGAGTCCAAGACATCGCCGATATCTGGGTAGCTGCAGTGTCGCTCAGTGTAGCGCCATGCTGGGTGGTAATGCTCACTGCCTCCACTTTACATGGAATCTTCTCCTGTTGGTGACTGAAGAACGACCGGCCATGACGCCAGCTGCCCATCACTGCTTGTGGAGACGCTCTTTCATTGAGATTGCGTGATTGTTGAGATTTTTCGACACGCCTACTGCTAAAAGCATGTACTGCTATGTTGGCGTGAACGGGTACTCTACACGCTGTCTGAGCTCTCCGAACCCAATTGCCTTACAGGACACATAAAACTGCAGATCCCACGGACAAATCAACCAAAAGAATTCGCTGGGAAAATGTTCCGGCTTTCAAAACACGACGACGATTAGCCGTGCACGGTTTCCGTACCGTGCTTGGGGAAGCTGTTGCCGGGAAGCCCGATGACCCGGCGTTCGAGCCGAATCTTAATTTCGTGGCTCCCAATAAGGAATACGGCTGGTGAGAAAGTGCCAAAAAGGACGCTGGTGGGACGCGCCATCGTCTAAAGTAACTAGAGTTGGAGATGCAGACAGCCTTGGAAGTGGAGGTGAGTGGAGGCCAGGATCTGCGGCTAGGGCGCGGGCTGGCGCATGACGTAGCGTGGATACAAGCAAAAAGCACACATTCCGAAGGACACGTCGATACGGAGCCCGATGCCAATCTGAGCAGCGAAATCAGCTCTCTCCCATTTCTCCCAATCTTTCTTCCATCTATCAGAATCTCTGGCCGGTGTCTTGAGCGTCGTCGAGAAGCGATTCCAACGATGCTGTCGCGGTTCGATAAGCGAGCCCTGCCGTGGAAGTGTAAATCGACGGGGAAGGCTAAAAGGAAAATGCCGAAAGCCAAAGACGCATCGACGACCTCTCTCCGAGGCTGGGGAATGGCTCTACTCAGATCCCGGACACATCCTGCACCGATTTCCGGCAGCGCAATCGATCGACGTGAGTGGTGGGTCTGCCCTGCTCCCATCAGCTCTGCACTCTGCCTTAGCGGGCCGCCCATCGATGATGCTAGGAGCAGATCAATCTTGAGGCTTGCAGATGTCGGCGAGCAGCGATGTGAGTGGGCCGCTTGGCCCAAGAGCGGGAGGACCGTTCCTCCACCCGCAGATCCACCTGGCCTAATTGCGACAGTTCAGCTCTCGCCGCGGGCCATGAGATCCACACTACAGGACTTCGGTCAACCCCGCCTACTTCCTAAACTCGATCAACACTAGCGAGGTATCCCGTACTTCCATCTAGAGCCACGGCAGACGTGGTCGCCGACCATTCATGGAGCAGCTAACAGGCTGCTCGCTTGCAGCAGGCTATCGTGGCTTGCCCACGCTGTTGAGAACGACATTGCACCCCAACGGCGGTGCCTGTGCCTGCCGCCTCGTCAACTACGGAAAGAGAACGTGCTTGACGGGAGTGGAGACGGGCAAGGCGTGGTGATGCAAAAACAATCATGGAAAATGAAACGCGAGACATGTGATATCTCACTCCTGCAGAATGCATGTCGTGGATGTGCGGTACGGTTACCACTCTATTGGAATCTTCTTGTCCGACAGTCTAGCATGGGCTCTGAAAGACTGCAGATCGAAGCAGGTTCTGAGGGACGGAGAATCTCGACCACGAGGACTCCAGATGACTTTACTGGACGCCATGGCATCGATGTGCAGCCTCTCAGCTATACCAGGCTGATGACAAAGCTCCCAAAACGGTACTCCTGTTGACCGGTCTTGAATAACCTTCACATAGATTGACTGAGCCCCGCTCCTTGCAGCGATTGCGTTGAGTCGCTGCGGCATTTGTCCAGATCAAATCGCCATAGCTCAAGCTTCTCCACTCCGGCTGGGTCCTTAGTTGCATTGGCTTGGTTCATTCGACTACGGAGCAAGCGCAGCCTCCCCACGTACTCCATACGGTGGAGCTCATGCACCATGCGTGCGCGTCAATGCACTCACTCATGCCAAAAACGACGTACCAGACGTGTCAAGCTCGGCTAGGATGCATGATCGCCGACCTGCATTATCGACTCTAGGGCTGTCTTGAGCCATCCACAGAGCTCATCCTGGTTCGAGGGACTAGCTCATGCGCGTAGAGCTGCTGATACTCATCGGGAATACTCACAAGCTCAG